TGTGCACGTAAGATCCCTCTTCTTAGATATTACCCATATTTAGCCTTTAGTTAGTTCATTAGTCACTTCCCCTTTGGGTCACAAATGGTAATTAACAACTAGAGCCCCTCTTTGTAATTCTTATCAACCCTCCATTTGATCCTGATAATGGACAATCACTGCCTGAGGAAGTTCAGGCTGGGTTTCCTGGGTGGAGGGGAGGATTGTGATTTCTGGGGGATATATAACTGTAAATCGAGGGAAAGGGGAGAATAAAGAAAAAGTGAATGGACTAAGAGCTCAGTGTGCTGAGATTCAATTTACAGAAAATAGTCCTCGCCGTCAGTAGTTCTCTCTCCTGAGCCCCTGGGATGTATAATATTGAGGCTGGTTCCTCCAATATTATACAAGACATGGAGACTTATTATTACTTATGAATGCCCGACCATAGCTTATTTCTAGCCAGCTTTTCAATCTTAACATTTATCCTGTCTACCTCTTGCCTCTGGGCATTTACTTTTCTCTCTTTCTGTATACCTTTTCTTTACTTCTCACTCCGTGGCTGGCTGTGTAGCTGGGTGGCTGGCCCCTTGTGTTCTCTCTCCTTCTTTTCTAGTTTCTCTCCTTCTTCTCTTTATCTCCTTCTATTTATTCTCTCTGCCCGCCAGCCCCGCTTATCCCTCTCCTGCCTAGCTATTGGCTGTTTAGCTCTTTGTTAGACCAATCAGGTGTTTTAGACAGGTACAGTAACACAGCTTCACAGAGTTAAACAAATACAACATAAAAGAATGCAACACATCTTTGCATCATTAAACAAATGTTCCACAGCATAAACAAATGTAATACATCTTAAGTTAATATTCTACAAGATGGTCCAGAGGGAGGGAACTAAGGTTTTTATGGTCTTGAAATTTAAGTTATTACATATTAGCGATTAAAGAAAGAGATCCTCTGTGGCTCATCCTAATCTCCCTAATAATAAAACATTTTCTGATTCAGTTTCTTCACCTCATGCTTCTGGACTTCCAGTGGTAGTAGAGATTGGCAAACATGGCCAACTAAGTTTTTGTAACAAATACAAAAAAAAGTTTGAGGGAAACTATTTATTCAGTACCAAGTTTTCATCTGATATTTTTATAATTACGTCGTCACAGTGTGCACTGCAAACCATCGCAGGAGACCATTCTGTGTGTAGCAAAAACAGGTTTATTGGAGAAGAAACTGCTGAGCTGTCTCCGGAGGGTGGAGAGCATCAGCCCCGCCGAAAAAGCAAGAAGGCTTTATAAGGTTCCTGAGGGCTTAGGGCAGATGCCTTCCTCTCAGGAGATTTTAGAACAGGGTCCTCAGGCCAAGCCTACCAGGAGGGGTCTGTGCCTGATGCAATCAGGCCAATTTATGTATAGCAGATGTCCTTTTGCCTGTGGTGGATGCCCATCTTGGGGGAACGAGGAAATTGCAGGTCTCTGATAAACAAAGTCCCTGAGTCACAGGGTTTTTGAGAACTGCTGGAGGTTAGCTCCTGTTTACTCACGGCCTAGCTACACTCAGGTCGCCATTTTAAGGTATTGGCAGCCACACCACCATCTTAGGGACCTTCTTTGTGATCTCACAGTCACAAGGTGTAAAGTTTTATATACAGAATTAGTGTCATTTACATAAAATGGGTACATTGCACTTTTCAGTGTTCTTAGTGAAACTGAATTATGTCTTCTTTTGATAGCAACATTGACTAACAGAAAGATTTAAAAAAAAAGGGGGGGGGTCTAGAGAAACAGCCTAGTGGTTAAGAGCACTTCCAGAGGACCCAGGTTCTATCCTCTGCACCTACATGGTGGCTCACAATGATCTGTAACTCCAGTTCCATGGAATCCCATGCCCTCTTCTGGACCCCTCAGGCACCACGCATGCACATGGTACACAGACATGCATGCAGGCAAAATACTTTTACACACAAAATAATAAAAGAAGACTTTTAATGATAAAAGAAATTCCAGCAGGAGCGAGTCCTTTGCCATGAGTCCCCTTCAGCTCTTCTGGGGGAAGAACGTTATCCAAAGAGCAACTCTTTCTCCTCTTTGATAGAACATGGGCGCTTTAAACTCAATAGCAATAGATGTGTGTGCTTCATTGGACTGCCAAGGGAAGTTCAGCGTGGAAAAACCATTTTTGTCGTTGAATTATGGTTGCTGTAGTTACTAACACAATGACACTGTGAGCCAATAAATAATTACTGTTAGTTGGGGACAATAGTTACATCATCTCACATGCAAGGCTGTATGCCTCCTTCAGCAAACTGAGCAGCCTGCCTAAATGCCAGGAACCAAGTTCTTCCTAACAGCACACTTGGAATACTGCAATCACACACCGGAGCTAGTGATCCCACCCCTGGGGGCTGGCAATAGATATGATTTTTAAGAATTACGCTCTCTTTGACTAAAATGACACATACTCAGCCTTATCTCAGCTATATAAACAATTCCTTTGTGTGCCTGAGCTGAAGTAATTGCAGTAAATAACTTCACAGCCTTGGCTTTTCTTATGGAGAACTAGAGGGAGAGGTCAGTCCTATCGTTCTGAAACCAGTCCCTCCACTGAAGGGAAAGCTGACCTGCATATCTGAAGTAGGCTCCGCTCATTATAACCTATTTTCATCACAGGACCTGGAAAACCTTCAGTCACGACTCTCAGTGTCTCCCAGGTCCTCTTCAACACCTTCCTCTATTCTTGCCTTTCACACAGTCATTTATTTTAGACCCTCAGAACACTTGAAAGACTTTCAGAAGGTTCCAAGCAAGCAGAGTTAAACTCAAGGGGGTGTGGGTGTGAGCCAGGCTGACATTAGGGTATCAGCAGGGGGCCAGAGGAGCTGACACAAAGTGTCTTCTGGAGGCTGATGTTCCTTCCTGCCCTCCCTCACACTTTGTCCCTGGTCCCTGACACAGACACCACACACACACACACACACACACACACACACTATGCAAGTTCATGCATGAGAGAGTCCAGAGCCTGAGTGGTGAAGACCCAGCAAGTAGATTCCAGACTGATGGGGCCAAAGGGGAGAAACCCTGACTCCAGTGTGAGTAAGCCTCATGCAATCACTTGAGAGCATTAAGAGGAAGACGGAGCAATAGTGGATATGTAGCCTCAACTG